ATAGAATTTTTATATCTTGCTGTTTTTCACCTAACATTGCATTAGAGGATTTTTTTTCCTTTTGCTACATGATCTTTTTATTTTTAATAATTGCATAATAGTTCCTTGAGCGGATGCACTCTTCTTTTCCAAACCATTCCCATATTATTAGACGTTAGATTATTTCCATGGTTTTCCACTATTATAAGTAAACTTGCAATGAATGTCTTCCTGTGTGGAACCTTTCCCTTCTTTTGAATTCTTTCATTATAATACATTTTCCGAAATGGAATTACAGCGCTAAGGAGGGTATAGAATTTTTGATATCTCTGCTAACTATTTTCTCAGGCATGTACCAGAATATAGCCCACTAGTTATGGATGAGAATCCTGGGGCTATCACAATTTCATCAGATCTCATCATTATGATTTTATGTATCTTACATTAAAAAATCACAATTTGTTTTTTTATTAAGATATGATTGACATTCATAAAAGTTTTATGTCGTAGTATTAATGCTTTGGACACAAGTACTTGTGTCCAAGTCAAGTCTCCTTCCATCAACATTTATCCCCCATGTACCATCTTCTCTCTTACCCAACCCCTTCCCCCCTGGTAATCACACCATACAGTTGTCTAAATATATGAGTTTTTGTTTATGTGTTTTTCTTAATCCATTCACTTTTTTCAACCCAGCTTCTCCTCACCCCAGACAGCTATCAGTCTGTTTGCTGGATCTATTTTTGTTCGTGTATTTTGTTCATTAGATTCCACATATAAGTGAAATCATATAGCATTTGTCTTTCTCTGACTGGCTTATTTCACTTAGCATAATATTCTCTGGGTCCATCCATGCTGTTGCAAAGGATAAGATTTCCTTCTTTCTTATGGCCATATAGTATTCCATTATGTAAATGTGCCACAACTTTTGTAATCCATTCATCTACTGATGGGCACTTGGGTTGCTTCCAAATCTTGGCTATTGTAATAATGTTGCAGTGAATTTAGGGGTGCATATGTTCTTTCAAATTAGTGTTTCAGGTTTCTTTGGATATATTCCAAAAAGGGAATCCCTGTGTTATAAGGCACTCCCATTTTTAATTTTTTGAGGTAACTCCATACTGCTTTCCACAGAGACTGCACCCAGTATTCCCTTTTCTCCGCATCCATGCCAACACTTGCTTTATTGACGATAGCCATTCTGACAGGTGTGAGATGATATCTCACTGTGGTTTTGGTTTGCATTTATCTGATGATTAGTGACCTTGAGCATCTTTTCATGTCTGTTTGCCACCTGTATGTCCTCTTTGGAAAAGTGTGTATTTAGGTTCCTTGCCCATTTTTTAATTGGATTGTTTTGCTTTTTTTGGATTTGCCTGCCCTTTGACAGTAGGACTCTCTTTTTTTTTTTTTTTTTTTTTTTTTTAAATATATTTTATTGATTTTGTACAGAGAGGAAGGGAGAGAGATAGAGAGTTAGAAACATCGATGAGAGAGAGTCATCGATCAACTGCCTCTTGCACACCCCCCACTGGGGATATGCCCGCAACCAAGGTACATGCCCTTGACCGGAATTGAACCCGGGACCTTTTAGTCCCCAAGCCGACGCTCTATCCATTGAGCCAAACCGGTTTCGGCGACAGTAGGACTCTTGGCCTGCTCTATAGCTGAGTGTTCTTGTCTGAACTAAGAAGACAATAGGTATTTTAACTGGTAGCCTTTGGGATTATTTCTCAGGTATAAGAATAATAATCCAAGTATTAAGACTTCTATAATGTGGCTTATTTGAAAAAGGGACATTGAGCCTTTTGAAGGGCCATGGAAGCACTTTTTTGGTGTGTGTGTGTGTGTGTGTGTGTGTGTGTGTGTGTGTGTGTGTGTAATGCTGACTAAAACAATTAGAATAAGTTATTGTTGACGTGGTGGTCTCCTTTAGCTCTAGGTGAGTTCTCACTGCTCCCACCCAGTGATGGTGCTAACTCACGTGGTAAAGGATGGAATTGGAAGATTAAATTAGATCTTCACTCCCTATCCTTAACAACAGTAAAATACTAATAAAATAGCATATAGTTATGTACAGTTTATTAGCTAATTAAAAAAATATTTTATTGATTTTACAGAGAGGAAGGGAAAGAGATAGAGAGCTAGAAACGTCGATGAGAGAGAAACATCGACCAGCTGCCTCTTGCACACCCCCTACCAGGGGTGTGGCCGCAACCAACGTACATGCCCCTGACCGGAATCGAACCTGGGACCTTTCAGTCCGCAGACCGACGCTCTACCACTGAGCCAAACCGGTTTCGGCTTATTAGCTAATTTAATTCTTGCAACAACATTACACACAGGTGCTTCTTTATTTTCATTTTCCATTGTGGAAACGGAGGTACAGAAAGTGCTAGGTTAGGTCTTCTAGTTTACCTCTCTCGCAATGTCTCTTAACTCCTTTGCTTAGCACTTCTGTTTTAGCTGGTTTCCCTGTGAACAGTTCTCCCCATGTCCTGCATACCTCCCGCCTGAGCACCCTTTCTTTACTCATCACAACAGCTTCTTTTAACGGGATGTTTTTAACTCATTGCAAGGCATCCTGCTGAAGCTTTTACAGACATCTCCATGAATTGCCACAACCATACTGGAGGTAGGTGAGGCAAGGGCAGGCTGAGAAGGAGGCTCAGATAGAGGTGACCACACTCAGTGGGTGGCAGAATCAGAACAGTACTTGATAACCCACGCTTGTCCCTCCCCCACCCCTCCCGTGCTGCAGGCTGCTTGTGGCTCTTCTCCAGGAATCCTTCCCCCTCTTTGATTCCTTTTATGACCTCTTACCCCACCTCCCTGTCCCAGCCACTCATTTATCATTTACGATAGGCCGTTGAGCAGTCTTAGTGACGAGTGTGTGAGTGTCCTGGCTTCTCATGTGGCCTGGGAGCTGGTCCAGGGAGCAACTATCTCTTTGGGGCTCACAGTCCCAGGGCCTGGCTCTCATGGGTACCTTGCTACTGTTACTGACTTGTGGTGACGACAGACCGCTCTGCTATCTCAGCACACCTGGCTTTTTGAGGTGGGCTGCTTCCTGGGCCAACCCAGGCACCCTCTTCATTTCAGAGAATAGCACTTGCTATGCTGAAGTCAGGGTTAGTCAGATAAATGGGCACGTGCTTATTCTGGGGGAATAAATAAACCAGCACAAAGTTGAGTGTGGCATAGTCATTTACAAAGGAGCTCATTCTTCCTATTAGTTGAATGATAGCTAATAAAGACTAAAAAGAAGAGTCCTTTTGTAATTTAATACCACCCTTTTGTTTATGGCTCTGAGAGTTACGTCTGGGTCCATGCTGGCTTTGCTAATTGTGGAGGTTCTGGGTTTAAGGGCTGAAGTTAATCACCATATTTCTACGTGCAACCAAACCCATAGCTTTAGTGTGTTGACAGGATTATTTCAGCTATTCCATAAAAATCGATTTTAAATTTTAGGCACGTCAATGACTTTTTAAAATTTGCTTTTTGTGCACCTAAAACCCTCAGTTTAAGTCTTTGTGTCACTTAAAAAGAAGTACGGCTGTGGGGTACTGTTGTTGCTGGATTTTAACAAACACTCATGTTGACTAGGAAAAGGAAGGATTGGGTATCTGTAGAGGGGCTGGCTGTGGTCTGTCCAACTAATCGGAGGTTTGGATGGGAAAACAGCTAAGTCAAATGGTTAGATCTCCTGAAGCCCTACCTCCCAGCATCATGCGGTTATTGTGAGGATTAGAGAGAAAACCAGATTTTATCTGGGGAAGAGTAGGACCACATTTATTTCCAGGCCTCAGGAACCAAGGGTACTCGGTGCACCTTACAATCAGTTCAGCCTGGTGTCTTGAGCCCTGTGTTTCCCGGAAGTGAATGTAACATCAATTCAGCCAGACACACATTTTTAAGGATTTAATGAGATTGTGTATGTAAATGAATGCTTTGAGAAGTACAAAACATCCTACCTGTGTCAAAAAACAAGTATCTGGTAATTTATGGGGTAGAACCCCAAAAGCAGAGAAGAAATAATAAGTTTATGTGATTATGTCTGGATTTAAAAAAATATATTATTATTGGTTTCAGAGAGGAATAGATAGAAATATCAATGATGAGATCGAATCATTGAATGGCTGCCTCCTGCATCCCCCCTGTATTGGGGATCACAATCTAGGCATGTGCCCTTGACTGGAATCGAACTTGGGACCCTTCTGTCCACTGAATCAAACCAGCTATGGCATGGCTGGATATTAAAAGAAACAAACAAATGCACTGCTTTCTCAAGCCATAGTCTAAACATGATTTTAGTTTTATTCTAAACTATATCACATAAATTATATGTTTTCTATCTGGCCTTTCTTATGTGGATGGAGGGAATGAATGAAACAATATAAAGGTCACCTTTTGCTTTGAGAAATAATTGCCACAATCACAATATATAAAGGATGTTTCTATTCTGGTTAGAGTGTGGTCTGCTTCAAACAGCCCATTCTTCTTGGAAATAACTAAAGTAAATGAGTTAATTATTAAATTTGTATATGCATGTAATTTTCCATGAAGTCAGTGCTCAAAAATTTCATTTATCAGGTCTTGCTGAACTGTGTAGCTTTCTCTTTTAGGCTTTGACATAACTGCTAAATCTTATGGGTCTCTGTGTGTGTGTGTGTGTGCACATGCGTATGTGTATGCAATGCTCTGCATTTTCTCTTGAAATGATTAGATTAATTGTGTGGCACTTTTTACAAATAGGTTTCTTCCAGTTCCTTTTCTACTTTTGTCCAGCTGAACATGTTGCTGTGTGGTTATTGCCAGAGTGTCCTCAGGATAATAGGAGACCGTTTGGGAGAGCTTAAATCTCCAGGGCTAGGTCAATGGCACTGGGCAGCACAGTGAGCTGCCCTGGCCAAGCTGCCCTGCCCATCTCACTTGTCCCCGTGCGTTGACCTAGCAGGAGCATGACACCTAACAAATTTATGGTTAACTCTCTCCTCCTCTCTGTCCCCATCTTCTGCCAGGCGGGTGCCCCGGTGATGTCTGGCACGGGAGAAAGCACTAACCCCGAGAACAGCGAGCTCAAGTACTCAGGTCAAGATGGGCTGTACATAGGCGTCAGCCTGGCCTCGCCGGCCGAAATCACATCCTCCTCGGTGAGACAAGATTCGTGGTGTGCGCTTGCCCTGGCCTGAGTCTGCTGCCGAGGCTGGAGCGGGAAGGCCCTCGGGACCTGCAGTGATTATGCCACACCGTGCAAACTGGGTCGAGTATGCTGACAGAACATTCCTCTGATGTGTGATTTCCGTGCCTTTATTTTGAAAGAGATGCATTTCCCAAGAGGCTTGTTCTGCCTTGCCAGCCAGCCCCTGTCCACGAAGAGCCAGGGATAAGATGGAGCGCCTCCTGGGAAGGCCGGTGCAGCCCACAGCACGCTGCAGGCTCCCTGGCTGCGGGCACTTCCAGCCAGCCTGCCTCCGGGTCTGCCAGGGCACCCGCTGTGCCACTTCCACAGGCCTGGACGAGGCCCGGGGCCTTGCCTGCTATGGAATATTGAGATTTTTAAAAAGGAAGGTTTTATGTGTATTGCCCAAAATCATGTGCTTCTTCTGATTTCTTAATACCTTTCCACACCCAGATTTCACCTGCGTTCACGGAGAAGACCATTTGAGGCCATTTGGTACACACCTCTGGAGGCTGAGTCGGTTCATGAGGTCACTTGTCAAAAATATCGCTCAGTTTGCAGGACTGCATTATAACTGTAACATACACTGTGACTGACGTTTCTCAAAGTTCATATTGTGTGACTGACCTGAAGTTGGTTGGAATTTGTAAACAGGGTAGCAAACAAAGATATTTTTCTTCCATGTATACAATAATTTTTTTTTTAAAAAGTGCAATTTGCGTTGCAGCAATCAGTGTTAAATCATTTGCATAAGATTTAACAACATTTTTTTTTATAATGAATGTAAACATTTTAACTTAATGGTACTTAAATAATTTAAAAGAAAAAAATGTTAACTTAGACATTCTTATGCTTCTTTTACAACTACATCCCATTTCTATATTTCCAATTGTTAAAAGAAAAATATTTCGAGAACAAATCTTCTCTCAGGAAAATTGCCTTTATTCATTTGTTAAGAATTCTTACACAAGAACACCAATATCCCCCCCTTTAATATGTGCTGGAAAAATTGCAACAAAACTTTACTACCTAACAGAAAACATTTGTAAATACTCTAGGCATCTATCTGTACACAGTAAGGCGAAGTCTCTACAGTGTGACTAACCTACAGGAAGGTTGGTTTACATTAATTTTTTTAAAATGGGATGTCATATGGAAACTTATTTCACCAGAGTTTTAAAAATAAAAAGGGTATTGTTTTGTCTTCTGTACAGTGAATTCCTTCCCTTTTAGCTTCATTTTAATACTATATAGACGTTCATTTAAAACAGGTACATATGATGATTTTGCAAATTGTCTTATGGCCTTCCTGCCCATGAATTGTCCTTTTGGAGCTGTTTTATAACTTGGTTTATTTGAATTTGGCACATGGAGTTACCACTTTCAGATTGCACTGGGGACACTTTTTATAATTAAAAGGGACCTAGTAGTAGGTCATTTTATCTGAGATTATAAGCATTCTTTTTAGGAACTGTTCATTTTTAAAAAATACATATAGTTTATAGATTTTTTTTTTTTTTACAGAGAGGAAGGGAGAGGAATAGAGAGTTAGAAACATCCATCAGAGAGAAACATCATTCAGCTGCCTCCTGCACACTTCCTTCCCACTGGGGATGTGCCCGCAACCAGCGTATATGCCCTTGACCAGAATTGAGCCTGGGATCTTTCAGTCCGCAGGCAGAAGCTCTATTCACTGAGCCAAACTGGTCAGGGCTAGGAACAGTTCTTGAAAAAAAATTGAAAAAGTCTATAAAGTTTTCCCCGCTCTGAATGAAATACTTTTCCCTCTCTGGAACCTCCTTTTTGCAAAGTGCCACTACGTCTCAGAGCTCATCTGAGGTTGAAGTCCTTACACTCACCAGAAGATACAGAATGATCTGAACTTGCTCTGCTTTTCCTTCACTGTTGGGTGGGTTTCAGGAAGTCAAGAAGCTGTTCCACAACACACAATGCTGTGATTTCATTTTGGCTCCAAGGTGTGGGCACTTACTTGGGGAAGGAAAGTCTTCCTCTGTGGTGGGGTGGTGTTGGGAGTCAGACACAGAGCTGGGGTTTGTGTGCGCCTGGGGGAGTCACTGAAGCCCGCATGCGGGCTGAAACCATAGGGTGGGCTAGAACAATGGATAGGCTGCTGGGTTTGGAGTCAGATCTCTAGGCTTCAAGTCCTTCTCTGTATGCATGAGCCCTGTGGCCTTGGGCAAGTTATCCAACTCATTTTCCTCACCTGTAAAATGATGCCAGTAACATACAACTTAGAACTCAAAGGAGAGCGTCCATATAGAGTGCCTGGTGCAGGGCTTGGTGCATAGTAAGCATTGAGTGTGAACATGACTGGAAAAGGGTAGCAGGAGCTCTTACCTAATGGGTATTTGGAATGTCTTGGGCCCTTTCAGAATCACAGGGACTAAGATCCCTGGCTCCCCTGCACTTCTTCAAGAATGCTGGGGAGAGTGTGGCAAGGGATTCCTCCGGCCCAGGAGGTGGCAGAGATGGATGGGGAGGATGCTTGAAAGATACCAGTGTGAGTTCAGCTGATGGTTTAATAGAACAGGGCTGGTCTGGCAGCAAAGAAAGTTATTATCCCTCTTTTTTTTTTTTTTTTTTTTTTTTTTTCCCCCTCCCTCATTCCTCTTATGGTTTTCATTACTTTGAATCCTTTCTGGTGGGTTGGTAGTTGTTGAGCTAATACGTTTTGATTGGAAAATGGATTTTTCTTGTTGAGGCCTCCAAATCCTTTTTTACAGGTGTGCTCCCAAATTTTGCTACTTCCAATCCTAAAACGCCATCGGTTGCTCAAGCTCCTCTTCAGAACACAAAGGGGAAAGAAGTATGGCTTTCATGAAATGACCAGGGGCAGAGGAGAAGGAGGGGACTTCTTATAGCCTGCTTTTAACACCGTGAACCCCTGATCTGGGCTTTTTCAACGGGCGCTTTCTCATCTGTGACTGTGCACAGTGGGAGTTTGATCATTTCTTTCAAACATATTGTACAATCGGCACACTTACCCCAGAGTGTGATAATCAAAGAAAAGCCATTTCTTTTCATTGGTCCTTTTGGCTAAGTTGGCTGCACCCAAGAATCTTTGGTTTAGTTCCAGGTCATGGCACATACCGAGGTTGAAGATTTGATCCCAGTTGTGTGGGAGGCAACTGACCTATGTTTCTCATGTGGACATTTTTCTCTCCCTCCCTCTCTCAAATCAGTGAAAACATATCCCCAGGTGAGGATTAAAAAGCAAAACCAAACTCACACAAGCCATTTCTCAAGACTTGCATTGACATAAATGTACCTTAGCTTGGAAAGTGCTCAGAGCCATTACTGAGGGTTACAGAATTTGTCTCCTGTCACTCCTGGCTGATGTTAGGCCATCTTACATAACCGAAGGCTCTGTCTGGGGTTCCTCTGCAGGGTCATTTTGTGTTGTTTCCTGGTGCCTATGGGAGGGCCAGGAAAGCAAAGGGAGCCATTCATTTCCCCCTGCAAATAGATTAACTTCTTGCTCATGGGCAATGTTTTCCCCGGTCCTTGGAAAATTGATGTAATTTCAGATTATAGATAGGTTAGCTGCTGGAAGGGCAGTGACTCTGCCAGATTCCAGGCTGCTTTCCCCCCCCCCCCCCCCCCTCAGGCAGCGTGGTGCCTTCGGTGCCTTAAGGTCTCTCCATGCCTGAGCATTGTCCATGGGGGCTTCAGATCCCTGTGACTCTGAGGAAGAAATGCTAGGTGTGTGTGAGACTGGAAGGGGGACCAGAGGAAAACAGCCCTAGCTAATTAAGATGCATTTCGTTTCTGGGTTGAAATACACAGCAAGACAGTTTGGGAATCTCCTGTTTGGAAGCTTTAAAGGGCAGTCAGATAGGAGTTTGGTTATTTTATATGAGAACTATTGATAAATTTGCTAGATCAAATCTTGGAAGACAGGGTCTGTGGGTAAAGATTTTTTTAAAAAAAAATATATTTTTATTGATTTTGTAGAGAGGAAGGGAGAGAGATAGAGAGCTAGAAACATCGATGAGAGAGAGAGTCATTGATCAGCTGCCTCTTGCACACTCCCTACCGGGGATATGCCCGCAACCAAGATACATGCCCTTGACTGGAATCGAACCCGGGACCTCGCAGTCCCCAAGCCGACGTTCTATCCATTGAGCCAAACCGATTTCGGCTCTGTGGGTAAAGATTCTGTGAAGCCCTGTCCCCTTGGAGCCTCGAGATGGATTCTGTGTGGCTGAATCATTAGCTCCCGTTAACTCAGGCCCATCTGCTATGGGTTTTGGAGGCTGGACAAAGTTCAGGGTCAGGGTGCTAGCTCCTTGTAGGGTCTGTAGGAGAGAGGAATCATATGATGTCTTCAGTTGTTTCAACTACAAAATAAGACTGAAAGCCTAAATTCATAGGAACTTTGGGTAAATTCTGGCTGATAATTCCAAATAGCTGCTAAAGAAAAGTCAGGCTGTTGTAGGTGCACGTCCACCCCTGAGACTCACAGCAGAATGAGCGATCATGCCCCCACCAAGTCCACTAAGGCAGGTCCCACGTCTGCCATGGAGAAGGAGCAGGACAGCTGGTCCTCACCGTTCTCCCTGCTCAGCTATCACAGGGACGTGTCCGTTCCACAGTCAGTATCACTGTTTTTGTTAAAAGAGATACTCATTCTCTTCATGGCTTTGTTTTTTTTATAAAACATATTTAAAATGGCTAAACTACAGCATTTGAAGATGAAATAAGGTTTAATTAATAGAAGGGCTTATATTTTGGTCATAAGTGGTCCTCTGTGATAAGATATTGATTATTTAGATATCTCTTAGCTTTTGAGCAAGTCACTTTTCTCTGGGCCTCAGCAAACATATAATAGAGAAATCAGGTGGCGTGTTCTGAAGATCCCTTCCATCTGTGTTTGCTGCCCATCGGCTTGTGTGCAGATTATGGGCAATGAGGCGATGGTGGGTCTGGTCTGGTCTGAGTCCCCGCGTCTGAGGTGCCTCTGCAGGCTGCCCCATGCCTAGGGAAGCT